CAGCCTTAGAATAAAAATCGACCTAATTTAAACAATTCTTTGTATTAATTTGAAGCAAGTGGTGATACAATTGAAATCAGCATAATAAAAGGAAGCTTAAAAATTTGTATGTTATGTTGGGAATGGGGTGCTAAAACACTACGACCTAAAATATTTATTGTACCCCTTTTGTCGCTAATGCAGCAAGGAAATGTCGCAATGCCTACAACGATCCTTCCAATCATATCTTCCTTGAGTGGCTTCAAGTTAGGTAAATATCACTCTTCTATTTAATATGCTCTTAGGTATAGTGTCCTTGGATTTTGGAGTGCTACACATTGTCAAAATGTAAATGGAGGTTTTGTCTTCCTCTTCACAGAATCTGCTCACTATATTCTACTACTCTTAGTTTACTTAAGGTGTCCTTTTAGTGGGCAATGCCCAGTAAGGATCCCTGATACAATACGTAACTTGTTCTTGTAAAATTGGTAAAAATATAGGGTGTTCTATTTATAAAATACTGTCATTGACGTCATTACAGGATGATTACAAGATATATTGAATTATGAGAAAATAAACTAAATTAAAATAAAAAGTTTACTTATTTTATTTTACGTCTTGGTCATCTATCACATTTGAGATGGAATTTTCTTTTTATTTACTTTTATAATAATGCCTAAATATACGTACCTACTAATCAAGGTGCTAACCTTATTATTTAAATAATATCAACCAAAAAATTATTAAACATTTTCTAAAACAAAAATGTTTATTGTGGCATTTTATTTTCTACGGCGCTCTGTAGTACTTGTCGCGTTCAAGATCGAAATTGATACATTTTAATTTTTAAAATGACTCGAGTCGAAAGACAAAATCAGCGAGCCTCCTAGTACGTATATATAATCAACTGCAACGTTGCCAAACCAAAAGCGCGCAGCGAATAGCTTAAGGCGCCCAGTTGACATGTAACATTAAACATCTTATACACAGCGAAATGTATATTAGCAGCGCACCAAGCGGCGAACGCCTGAACTACTATTTTATACAGGATCAAAAAACGGCTCAAATGGGCGTCCTCGAGATTTTTGTGTTAATGGGTGTTTTAGGGTGTCTACATCATCTGGAACAATTTTCAATGGGTTGTCACTGGGGATCCGTATATCGGAAGCCCAGTAACAGCGGAGTCTCAGTGAACCTGAAATTTAACATGGGGGGAGGCTCAGTAATACTTTGTAGATATATATATATATATATATATATATATATATATATATATATATATATATATATATATATATATATATATATATATATATATATATATATATATATATCCCACCTACGTTTTTGCGTCAATACATTATGTCTTTTGCATGTATTTCTGCGTCAACCGCGTTGTTGCGTCAATATATTGACGCAGAATTACAAACGCGTGCAACTCAGTGACGAACGATGGTTAATTGTTCTTTTTGATACCAGGTTGAAGTCATAACTGTATAGAAAAATAGGTTCAATTGACATCCGCCCAAAAACTTTTTTAACTCTCTTATTACAATTTTTATGATGACGCAGCAACTGCGCTAGCATGATTCTTCAATGCATATTTAGTTCGAAAAAAAATAATGTGGTGGCGCTCCGCCGAGCCGTGAATATAAGGGTAATGGGTATTATTTTCATTCACTCGATTATTCTGCGTCACGTTAGTCTGGCAATACCCGGCAACACCGTTGATTATTGGAACGAAGTTCTTTACGGCAGGCTTGGAGGAGATAGGGATTTTGCTGCGCGACCGAACTGAAACAAATGTGCGCGACACAAGCGAGTAGTGTATAATACCTTTCTCTTTCTCCCTCTTAAATCGGGGAAAATTGGGAAAAATTGGAGGAAATTGGGGGGAAATTGGGAAAAATTTGGATAAATTGGGAAAAATTGGGATAAATTGGGGAAAATCGGGGAAATTTGGAGAAGTGGGGGAAAATTGGGGGAAATTTGGGGAAATTGGAGAAATTTGGAAAAATTGGGGAAAAATGGAGAAATTTGGAGAAATTTGGAAAAATTAGGGAAATGGGGGGAAATTTGGGAAAATTGGAAAAAATTTGGAAAAATTGGGGGAAATTGGAGAAATTTGGGAAAATTTGGGAAAATTTGAGAAAATTTGGGAAAATTTGGGAAAATTTGGGAAAATTTGGGAAAATTTATGAAAATTTATAAAAATTTATGAAAATTTGTGAAAATTTGGGGAAATGGGGGAAAATTTGGGAAAAATTGGGGAAAATTGGGAAAAAAATTTGGAAAAATTTGGGAAAAATTGGGGGAACTTGGAGAAATTTAGGAAAATTTGGAAAAAATTTGGGGGAAATTTGGGAAAATTAGGGAAAATTTGGGGAAAAAGGGAAAATTGGGAAAAATTGGAATAAATCGGGGAAATTGGGGGAAATTCGGGAAAATTGGGGGAAAAATTTGGGGAAATTGGAGAAAATTGGGAAAAAATTTGGGAAAAATTGGGGAAATTTGGGAAAAATTGGGGAATTTGAGAAATTTGGGAAAATATAGGGAAATTGGGAAAATTTGGTGAAGTGGGGGGAAATTTGGGGAAATTGGAGAAATTTGGAAAAATTGGGGAAATTTGGGGAAAAAATGGAGAAATATGGAAAAATTTGGGGAAATGGGGAAATTTTGGGGAAATTTGGGAAAAATTGGGGAAAATTGGGGAAAAAATTTGGAAAAATTTGGGAAAATTGGGGGAAATTGGGGGAAATTGGAGAAATTTGGGAAAAAATTGGGATAAATCGGGGAAATTGGGGAAAATTTGGGGAAATTGGAGAAAATTGGGAAAAAATTTGGGAAAATTGGGGGAAATTGAAAAAATTTGAAAAAATTGGGAAAATTTGGGAAAATTTGTGGAAATGGGGGAAATTTGGGAAAATTAAGGAAACTTGGGGAAAATTGGCAAAAATTTGAGGAAATTGGGGGAAATTGGAGAAATTTGGAAAAATTGGGGAAATTTGGGAAAAATTGGGGAAAATTTGGGGAAATGGAAAAAATTTGGGAAAATTGGGAGAAAATTGGGAAAAAATTGGGAAATTTGGGGAAAATTTGGGGAAAATTGGGGGAAAATTGGGGAATTTGAGAAATTTTGGAAAATATGGGGAAATTATGGGAAATAAAAAAATTACACATACAATACGTAAACGTATTGAATAAATTAATATATGCTTCATCAAAAAAAAAATTTTTTATTTGACCAGAAAGAAGGACATAATAACTATTAATTCTTGCTTCTTAAATTTAAATGAATATCAAACGCATCTCTTTAATTCGAAATGATAAATATGGTATTGGCAACATCGCTGACGCAACAAAATCTGGCCTGCAAACAAATCAAATCTATCAAAGATGCAGAACTGTTGTCTTGCTGAAACATAATATACTCTGATGTCGTAATGATGGTTACATATATTGACGCAACAATGTAATGAAAATGGTTACAAAACAATATTGTTCTTTTTTTGAGTATATAAAAAAGCAAGATGGTAGATAGTTTGTCATACCTATTTTATACTCTATTTTGAATAGAAATATGTATATACTCCATTCCTTCTGGTTGACGCATAAATGTAACAAAGATAAAATGATGCAGAAATGATAGAGGGATTTATATATATATATATATATATATATATATATATATCCCACCTACGTTTTTGCGTCAATACATTATGTCTTTTGCATGTATTTCTGCGTCAACCGCGTTGTTGCGTCAATATATTGACGCAGAATTACAAACGCGTGCAACTCAGTGACGAACGATGGTAAATTGTTCTTTTTGATACCAGGTTGAAGTCATAACTGCATAGAAAAATAGGTTCAATTGACATCCGCCCAAACACTTTTTTAACTCTCTTATTACAATTTTTATGATGACGCAGCAACTGCGCTAGCATGATTCTTCAATGCATATTTAGTTCGAAAAAAAATATTGTGGTGGCGCTCCGCCGAGCCGTGAATATAAGGGTAATGGGTATTATTTTCATTCACTCGATTATTCTGCGTCACGTTAGTCTGGCAATACCCGGCAACACCGTTGATTATTGGAACGAAGTTCTTTACGGCAGGCTTAGAGGAGATAGGGATTTTGCTGCGCGACCGAACTGAAACAAATGTGCGCGACAGTCGTATACACAAGCGAGTAGTGTATAATACCTTTCTCTTTCTCCCTCTTAAATCGGGGAAAATTGGGGGGAAATTGGGAAAATTTTGATAAATTTTGATAAATTTTGATAAATTTTGATAAATTGGGAAAAATTGGGATAAATTGGGAAAAATTGGGGAAAATTTCGGAAAATTTGGGAAAATTTGAGAAAATTTGGGAAAATTTGGGAAAATTTGGGAAAATTTGAGAAAATTTGTGAAAATTTGTGAAAATTTGGGAAAATTTGTGAAAATTTGGGAAAAATTTGGAAAAATTTGGGAAAATTTGGGAAAATTGGGAAAAATTTGGGAAAATTAGGGGAAATTGGAGAAATTTAGGAAAATTGGGAGAAAATTTGGGGAAATTGTGGAAAATTAGGAAAAATTGGGAAAATTTGGATAAATTGGGAAAATTGGGATAAATTGGGAAAAATTGGGGAAAATTGGAGAAATTGGGGAAAATTTCGGAAAATTTGGGAAAATTTGGGAAAATTTGTGAAAATTTGGGAAAAATTTGGGAAAATTTGGGAAAATTGGGGGGAAATTGGGAAAAAATTGGGGGGAAACTGGGGAAATTTAGGAAAATTGGAGAAATTTAGGAAAATATGGGGAAAATTTGGGGAAATTGTGGAAAATTTAGGAAAATTGGGAAAAATTGGGGAAAATTGGGGAAAATTGGGGAAAATTTGGGAAATTGGAGAAATTTGGGGAAATGGAGGAATTTGGGGAAAATGGAGGAAATTGGGAAAAATTGGGAAAATTTGGATAAATTGGGAAAATTGGGATAAATCGGGGAAAATTTGGGAAAAATTTGGGAAAAATTTGGGAAAATGTGTGAAAATTTGGGAAAAATTTGGGAAAATTTGGGAAAATTGGGGGAAATTGGGAAAAATTTGGGAAAATTGGGGAAATTGGAGAAATTTAGGAAAATTGGGGGAAAATTTGGGGAAATTGTGGAAAATTTAGGAAAATTGGGAAAAATTGGGGAAAATTTGGGAAAATTGGGGAAAATTTGGGAAATTGGAGAAATTTGGGGAAAATGGAGGAAATTGGGAAAAATTGGGAAAATTTGGATAAATTGGGAAAATTCGGAAAATTGGGATAAATCGGGGAAAATTTGGGAAAATTTGGGAAAATTGGGGAAATTGTGGGAAATTGGATCAATTTGGGAAAATTGTGGAAATTTGGGGAAATTAGGAAAAATTTGGGAAAATTGGAAAAAAAAATTGGGAAAATTGGGGAAAATCTGAGAAATTGGGAAAATTGGAGAAAATTTGAGAAATTGGGGAAAATTTGGGTAAATTTGGGAAAATTGGGGGAAATTGGGAAAATTGGAGAAAATTGGAGAAAATTTGAGAAATTGGGGAAAATTTGGGAAAAATTTGGGAAAATTGGGGAAATTGGAGAAATTTGGGGAAATTGGGGGAAATTGGGAAAAAATTGGGAAAAAATTGGGAAAAATTATGAAAATTGGGATAAATTGAGAAAAATTGGGATAAATCGGGGAAATTTGGGAAAATTGGGGAAAATTTGGGAAATTTGGGGAAAATTGGGGAAAATTTTGGGAAAATTGGGGAAATTGGGAAAATTTGGGAAATTTGGGGAAATTTGGTAAAATTTGGGAAAATTGGGAAAAATTGGGGACATATGGGGAAAATTGGGGAAAATTGGGAAAAATTGGGAAAAATTGGGAAAAATTGGGAAAAATTGGGAAAAAATGGGAAAAATTTGGGAAAATTGGGAAAAATTTGGGAAAATTGGGGAAATTGGAGAAATTTGGGAAAATAGGGGGAAATTGGGGGAAATTTGGGAAAATTTGGGGAAATTGGGGGAAATAAAAAAAATTACACACACAATACGTAAACGTATTGAATAAATTAATATATGCTTCATCAAAAAAAAAAAAATTATTTGACCAGAAAGAAGGACATAATGAACTATTAATTCCCGCTTCTTAAATTTAAATGAATATCAAACGTATCTCTTTAATTCGAAATGATAAATATGGTATTGACAACATCGCTGACGCAACAAAATCTGGCCTGCAAACGAAAATACCTATAAAAGATGCAGAACTGTTGTCTTACTGAAACATAATATACTCTGATGTCGTAATGATGGTTACATATATTGACGCAACAATGTAATGAAAATGTTTACAAAACAATATTGTTCTTTTTTTGAGTATATAAAAAAGCAAGATGGTAGATAGTTTGTCATACCTATTTTATACTCTATTTTGAATAGAAATATGTATATACTCCATTCCTTCTGGTTGACGCATAAATGTAACAAGGATAAAATGATGCAGAAATGATAGAGGGATTTATATATATATATATATATATATATATATAGAAAAAGTAAAAGTTGAAAAGTCTTTTGGTAGGTAGAGAGGGGGTAAACGTCAAACCACGTCGGGCGGCTCCGAGAATTTCGCAGTAATGTTTACTTACCAGTGTCGTTTCATAGAATAAGTAATTTTAAATTGTTATTGGCGGAACCGGACAATCGCATGTATTTATGGATTATAAATAATTATTAAACATGTATTATAATATTCAAATCATAATTTTACAAAATTTCAACAGCTATTCACAATTTATTAAACTATTTACTCGAAATTGTTATTAACATCTATAAAATAATTTTGTACGCCAATGTATCGCGTCCACTTCGGTGAGATCCGCTGACAACCTGTCAATTTATGTGTATAAAGTGGGAGAACTGGCAAAAGCATTTCCAACTTTTACTTCTGTTCTACCAAATCAGTATTGGCACTCTGAGGCGGCACGTTTGATCTTTAAAAGTAAAAATTTTAATGAACACTTGACGTTTTCGGGATATGAAAAGTTTTCTTTACACGGACTTGGTATACATGGTTAGTTGAATCAGGCCCATGACACTCCCTGGGCGGGAAAAAGACACGCAGCTTTTACTGCGCTGACGTTTTCGGGATATAACCTATCACTTGTCATAAATCCGGTTAAAAACTCGCTACCATGCGCAGGCAATCCATATTTCGTACACAAATACAAACTTTTGTTTACATTTTATCGAAGTAGTTTTTGTAATACATTTACAGCTTAAAAACGGAAAATTTGTTGTTTTGATAGTGAATTTAGATTAAAAATACTCCAAATACACTTTAGTGTGTGTTTTATCCTTATTGTTACGTATTATTGCTCGTTTTATTTGAGGACATTGGAATAAATAGAGTACTAGAAGTAATCAAGCTAAAAAGGTGTCTTATAAGAAGAAAATACATTGCATTCGACTGATTTATGTTTAATATGTTTTCGTAAAGTATTTCCAACATGCTAGTTCCTTGAATGGTTGTAAATTGTAAGTGTATAAGTGATAGAAACTGATCTAGTGCGTTGTGCTTCGTTTTTTTTGTGTTGGTGTCCCAGCCCAGCGTTCCTAGCCAGCAGTAGTAGCAAAAATATTAACATTGTCTACATTCAACCCGTTTACATGTACATGATTTATCAGCTAAAAGCAGAATACAATAGTTCTCTGCAAAATGTAAACAACGCTACAAGGAAAATTGCTCATATATAAATTCAACAATTAAATCAAAATATATTATTTTTAAAGGACTTATATCAACTATTATGTTAATTATAAATATTATAATATAAATATTTGTAACAAAATAATAGTTGTGTATTAATAAATCTGTTACTACTCCAAAAAATATATTGTTTATTGATTATCAGGTATCAAAAATGATATGTTTCTTATTATAATTGTAAATAAAAACAACACTTTTTATCCGTCCATTTAACACTTACAAACATATGAATATTTTAAGTTGTAAGGATCCATAGCCTCTTATTTTTTTACATTAGACACAAGACCTGTGATGTCACATTAAATCGTGAATATGAGATAAAGGATTTTGGAGTTGTCTTTCAGTTTAATTTGAAGTTTATTAACCATTTCTTACACATAACTAAAATAACAATAAAAGCTTTGGGTTTTTAAATCAGAAATACAAAAAAAATTTAGAATTACCACCAAAATCAGATTATATAATGCCTTACTAAGACCCCATCTTGAGTATGTTTCACAAATATGGATGTCCTTGAAAGCCACACATATTGATCATATTGAAAAAGTACAAAAAATATTTTTACCGTACCTTTATGCCATAAAAAATACTTGTACCTTTATAAGATCTCATATAAAACTATGCTCTATAGTTTTAAGATTAAATCTCTTTTACAAAGAAGAAAGCAACTGTGATATATTTTGTACTCTATTTTAAATAATATTAAGTACAAAGATTGTGATTTGATTGACTATATAAATTTTAATGTGGCAAATATTAATCTAAGAATCCCAAGTAACAAAAAATTATTTAGTTTAGATCCAAGTAGTATATTTCCTTTTAACAAGATAATGGCTGTTACCAATGAGTTTTTTAGCGAGGTCCAAATAGATATCTTTAATGTTAGCCTAAGAAAGTTGAGGTTTGTTTTGTTTATAAAGTTCTTGTTACTTAACTCTACATGTAACTACTATTAATTTTTTATAGTATCCAATAAATAAATTATACCTTATGGCTGCTTTCAAACAATTCTGTGTGTAGTCACTCAGTTTAAAGTTAATTTTAAATTAATGAGTTTAATAAGAATGTCAAATAGTGATATGTATAGTGTCTATGAATTTGCTGTGTGTAGTAAATGGCAAATAAACATAACTTTGATATTTTTATTACAAGTGTAAAAACTACGCAAACCATATTCGCTCCGTGCGCGACAGCAGCGCCAATTTGTTTTGGTATTAAAGGAGTATTTCTGCCTATACTGACAAATACAATTTTTAATAGAATTCGTAAATAAAAAGTATATATGTTAGTTTTAATAAAAGTATATGGATTTATAAAACAATTAAAACATTAATTTATTATTATTATATATTTTTCACGCTTAAATTGAAGGAAAATTATGTATAATCATTAAAAATCAATAATAAAATATAGGCAGGCAACAGTATTTACTGGAAAATGTATGAGAAGTTGCCTAAGTCTAATAAGTTGTCATTGAAGAAACCATTTATAATAGCGTGAAGTTAAAATGTATAAAAAGGATCGCTACTTATATTTTCATTTTTGTTCTAAAGAAAACATAGAATGAATGATTAAAACTGGTTTCCGATCAGTAAGTCACAAAATTGCATACCAGCCAAATATTATAATCAACGGCAGAAATCTTGAAATCTAGTCCTTGCTGAATGAACATTTAAGAATAAAGGGATATTAAAGAACATCGTAAAATGATAATTTATTGTTTATTTAAAAACTTTCTAGTTTCTGATGTCTACTATTTCCAGCATTACTGTTATTATCACAAAAATAAAGGTAATTTTTCTTCTTATTGTACACCTATATATTTATTTCTTTGATTTAATTTCCACTTTGTTAGTGAAATTTGTTATATAAGTTTCACTGTTTTTTTTGCTAGTATTTGTACAATTTTCAACACAGCAACTCCGGTTGCTTATTGTGTTGTTTTTACCTACTTTTTTGAAAAAAAGTAAAATGTATACGTGTATTTGATATGCCAAAATTACAAAATATCCCCCTAAAATGCACGAATTATCCGCAGCTAGCGCTAGTATCGCTTTTGCTTCCCTTTCCATGACTTCGCACGGAGCGAATACATATAGTTCCCATTTTTAAATAAATTTATAATAAAAAGTAACGATTTTAGTCTCATTCACTAAAACAAGTCTCTGAAAAAACTACACTAAATATGTCTCCATTATAATTTTTTATATTTAAAACTACATAGATTTTGCAGTAAGTACCTAAATAACGTATAGAATAAATTTCTACAACATAGAAAAGTTTTAGATTAGAGTAATTCTTAAGAAATAAAGCAAAACCTTTATTTTGTTACTCTAACCTTGTGTGTTATATATTTTCCTTGACAAGCTAACGTTATATTTTGAACTAAATGTAATTAAACTTTTCACTAACAAGTAATACCTATTTCACATATATAAAAAAATTTTTAAAACGGTTCTGCCTTCTCACATTTGCGAAGACTGCCCTGATATCTAATCTATTTTCTTCTTCAAAGTAATTAAGTTGTTCAACCGTTGTCTATAAAGGTATCTCACATCTCGCTCATACACACAAATTTGAAAAGCAGCAGAATAAAAATTCAACTAACCAGGTATACCAAGTCCGTGTAAAGAAAACTTTTCATATCCCGAAAACGTCAAGTGTCAACTAAAATTTCTACTTTTAAAGATCAAACGTGCCGCCTCAGAGTGCCAATACTGATTGGTATATATACTGGGGTTGAATTTTTGTTCTGCTGCTATTCAAATTCGTGTGTATGAGGGTGATGTGAGATACCTTTATAGACAACGGTTGAACAACTTAATTACTTTGAAGAAGAAAATAGATTAGATATCAGGGCAGTCTTCGCAAATGTAAGAAGGACAGAACCGTTTTAAATTTTTTTATATATGTGAAATATTACTTTTTAGTGAAAAGTTTAATTACTTTTAGTTCAAAATATAACGTTAGTTTGTCAAGGGAAATATATAACACACAAGGTTAGAGTAACAAAATAGAGGTATTGCTTTATTTCTTAAGAATTACTCTAATCTAAAACTTTTCTAGTATATTGTAAAAATTTATTCTATCCGTTATTTACGTACTGCAAAATCTATAGGAAAGTATGTAGTTTTAAATTAAAAAATTTGTAACGGAGACATATTTAGTATAGTTTTTTTTACAAATATATACTCAGTGACTTGTTTTTGTGAATGAGTTCAAGTATGGCAGACTAAAATCGTTATTTTTTATTATGAATTAATTTGAATTTATTTTAAAATGGGAACTATATGTATATAGTATATGGTTTTCTTAGTTTTTACACTTGTGATAAAAATATCAATGCTATGTATATTGGCCATTTACTACACACAGCAAATTCATAGACACAATACATATTACTATTTGACATTCTTGTAAAACCACTAATTTAAAATTGACTTTAAACTAAGTACCTACACACAGAATTGTTTGAAAGCAGCCATAAGGTATAATTTATTTATTGGATACTATAAAAAATTAATAGTAGTTACATGTAGAGTTAAGTAACAAGAAATTTAAGACCAAAAACAAAACAAACCTTTATATCTAGTGAACTTAATTTAGTACAGTCCTCAACTTTCTTAGGCTAACATTAAAGATATCTATTTGGATCTCGCTAAGAAACTCATTGGTAACAGCCATCATCTTGTTAAAAGGAGATATACTACTTGGATCTAAATCAAATAATTTTTTGTTACTTGGGTTTCTTAGATTAATCTTTGCCGCATTAACATTTATATAGTCAATCAATTCACAATCTTTGTACTTAAAATAGAGTACAAAATATATCACAGCCTGTTGCTTTCTTCTTTGTAAAAGATATTTAATCTTAAAACTATTGAGTATAGTTTTATACGAGATCTTAGGTATAAGGGTACAAGTATTTTTTATGACATAAAGGTAGGGTAAAAATATTTTTTGTACTTTTTCAATATGATCAATTTGTGTGGCTTCCAAGGTCATCCATATTTGTGAAACATACTCAAGATGGAGTCTTACTAAGGCATTATATAATCTGATTTTGGTGGTAATCCTAAATTTTTTTGTATTTCTGATTTAAAAACCTAATGCTTTTATTGCTTTTTTAGTTAAGTGTAAAAAATGGTTATTGAACTTCAAATTAGACTGAAAGACAACTCCCAAATCCTTTACCTCATATTCACGATTTAATGTGACATCACAGGTCTTATTTCTAATGTAAAACATTAAGAGGCTATGGATCATTACAACTTAAAATATGCATTGCATACGTTTGTAAGTGTGAAATAGACGGATAAAAAGTATTGATTTTTATTTACAACTATAATAAGAACCCATTAAAAAATTAAGAGCAATAGAACATTTCAACAAATTTCTATAGGTACACATATTTTTGATACCTGATAATCAATAAATAATATATTTTTTGGAGTAACAACAGGTTTATTAATACACAACTATTATTTTGTTACAAATACTTATAATATTTATAATTAACATAATAGTTGATATAAGTCCTTTAAAAATAATATATTTTGATTTAATTGTTGAATTTATACATGAGCAATTTTCCTTGTAGCGTTGTTTACATTTTGCAGAGAAATATTGTATTCTGCTTTTAGCTGATAAATCATGTACATGTAAATGGGTTGAATGTAGACAATGTTAATGTTTTTGCTACTACTGCTGGCTAGAAATGCTGGGCTGGGACACCAACAGAAAAAAGGAAGCACAAAGCACTAGATGTTTTTATCACTTATACACGTACAATTTACAACCATTCAAGTAACTAGCATGTTGGAAATACTTCACGAAAACATATTAAACATAAATCAGTCGAAGGCAATGTATTTTCTTTTTATAACACACCTTTTTAGCTTGATTACTTTTAGTACTCTATTTATTCCAATGTCCTCAAATAAAACTAGCAATAATAAGGATAAAACACACACTGAAGTGTATTTGGGGTATTTTTGATCTAAATCCACTATCAAAATAACAAATTTTCCGTTTTTAAGCTGTGAATGTATTACAAATTACAAAAACTACTTCGATAAAATGTAAACAAAAGTTCATATTTGTGTACGAAATATGGGTTGCCTGCGCATGATAGCGAGTTTTTAACCGGATTTATGACAAGTGATAGGTTATATCCCGAAAACGTCAGCGCAGTAAAAGCTGCGCGTCTTTTTCCCACCCAGGGAGTGTCATGGGCCTGTGAGTACTACGTTTACTTATCATCTGAAGAAGGGAGCGTAGTGTAAAATTGAAGGTAAAATAGATCCACGATGTCAGTGAGACTTTGCGTGGGAGTGAGCAGCATACTATGAATTGTTCTTGTACACCACGCTGAGGCAGGGGACTAAAAACACATCTCTTCCACATTGACTACATAATATTATGTAATGTTGCGTATGCAGATATTATGCGGAAAACAAATTTCTCCATGGCCACTACTGAATATAGTTCTTCCGAAACCACATAAAGCAAACATTCTCGCTCTTGAGATTGAAAGAACATTCTGAACCACTTGCCTTTCATGTATTTTACACGTATTTCATTCTAACTCTAGAGATAGAATGTTTATTATGTAATAGCTACTGGCCAATGGTTATGAATACCACTCCCGCATTGAAGATAGTAATGAATTTCATGCTGACAGTTTTACACGACGTATTAGTATTTAGTTTGAATTTGCCGGAATGAAGATAAAATTAAATGGCATATCGTATATTGGTTTATATATTTTTTTATGTTTTTAATTTAGCATAGATAAAACAAAACTCTTTTAACTCCATTCTAAAATAGATTTTTTAAGAAAATGGACGAGGCATTGAAAATGTTTTTCTGATATTTTTTGGAGTCACCCATAAATAAGGTCCAGGCAACTAGAAACTAGAATCGTGTAATGTTGAAAATCCTATTTAAAACATTGATGTATTATAATATGGAATGATCCACAAAAAAAGTGTATAAAGTAGGCCTTGGAAAAAGTCGCGTATGTCGTAACATACAGTTCTTCTTTTTAAGTGTCAGTTTGGATTTAATTCAGAGTCATGCATAGTTATCACGTACAAGACTAGTATCACTGTCTTTGTCGGTTATGGACTACTTAGAAACATTTTTTGAGGATTACTTTTTACTTTTTTTTAACCTCATTGATTTAAAAAGTATTGTTGTGTCATGTACGCTTTCTAAGTTGTTATTGTTTTTATTTATAAATAAAAGTTAGCTCATTATTTTAATTTTTCAGATTTTCCAAATGTTTTTCATGATAGTAGCAATTTTGGACGAAGCATCAAAATTGCTAAACTTATCTCTGGATAAACAAAAAATGTTGAGTAAAACAAGGGCCGTAATGTACAACACTATACTTTTTCCGTCATCTCTTATAGTGACAACGTTGTTTTGGACTCTGTATTACATAGAGAGAGATCTGATTTTTCCACGAATATTAGACTCGTTTTTTCCTTGGTGGTTGAACCATATGCTCCACACGTTCATAATTTTACCAGTCGTTATAGAGTTAATGCTACCGAAGAAATACAATTTTGTTAGCTTTAGCAAAGCCGCGCCTGTATTGGTAACGATTCTCGTATTTTATACCATATTGTAAGTATACCCTTTTGTACAATCTGTTAATTTATGTCTCAATAGTTTTGGCACAAAATATTTAACTTTATATTTTTGTAACACGTAACTTTATTTAAACTTTTATTTGTTATAATTAACGGCTTAGTAACTAACAAAATTATTAACATTACTCATTAGGACTTGGACGACGTGAACTTCTATTTCGCGTATATTTAAAAAAAAAAATCTAATTGTTCCTCATTTTTGGCTTGCCATCCTTTAATTAAGGGATTACCTTCGTTTGGTCAGGGCCGTTCCAAAGATAGCTGCCGCTCGTGTGAGGGCAAATCCCCCCCCCCTTCATACCATTTGAATTAGAAATATTTTTACCTTAAATAAACACATTACAGAAAATATAAGAAATTTGGTTTATTTTGAAATGCCCTTTTCAATACTAACAATAGACAAGTCAGAAAGCCTTTCCTGTGCCATTGTTGATCTCAAATAATTTTTTATTATAAGTTTTGAAAAGCTTTTTCCCCGCTAGCCGCAGTTACAGGCAATGTTAAAAAACATTGGTATATCAATTACCAAATTTAGAAACAGATAGATGAGGTTATTTTGTAAATAAGTATTTAGGGGAAATCTAGGGTGCAACGTTGTCGATTTAATCACATAAATCTACAGCTATATCTTTTTCATTTTTAGATGGATCATGTAACATACTTTCCACATATTTAGATTTTGTAGACCTATTTGACTTATCTGTTTTAAGGAAATTATTTAGGTCGTTGAGAAAATTGAAAATTGTGTGATGTTGCTTTATTATTTGTTCGAACCTTTCTTCTAGTTTTGATAATCCAGTGTCCAATATTACAAAGTAAAAGCTAATTTTGAATTGGTATTCTGCATTTTTTGGAGCCTCATCTTTACATTCGTAGTTAAATAATTGTTTTTTTTTATCCGGGGTCTAACAATATTAACTGGAGGAAATTAAGTGTCGCAATCTTCTAAAATATCGTTAAAAACCTTATCTGGCCTATTATTACATAAATATGTTTTGGTTTGCTCTAACAATAAAATAATATTTGGTAGTATAGTATCCGATTCTTGCATGGCTTTACTTACGATATAAATTTTTGGTAACATATACCTACCATGTAATTATGGAACAAATAAATTTAAACGACTTAATTTTCAAAAGTAATGAATTTGTCATGTTTCTAGTTTCAGAGTCTCTAGTATTATCGGAATAAAGGGTATATAAAGCATCATATATTTTTGTTAGATTGTATCTAAGACCTTTAAGCGCATCTATTCTACTTTTCCATCTAGTGTTTGAAAGAGGTTTAAGTTTTAAAGTTGGCATTTCATCTTTTAAGACCTTCCAACGTTTATTCGATGCGGAGAAGAAAACGTATACAATTACAAAAGACGCTTTTGCAGCGTCTTTAACGACTAAATTTAAACTATGGGCCGCACTCTAGGGTTTAAGTCAAGAACTTTTTTTTGTAAACCATTATTAAATCTCCCAAACAAATGTTATGTTGGGAATGGGGTATTAATATACTGCGGCCTAAAATATCTATTGTGTTCCCTTCTGTCGCTAATTCAGCAAGGAAATGTCTATTTTCTCAAGGAAGTGATGAGATTTGGAGTGGCTTCAAGTTAGGTAAATCTTTCTCTTCTATTTGATATTTATTTATTTATTTATTTATTTCACAACCCAAACAGGCTTTTAGCCTTATTACATGGATATTATTGCTAAAACTGTTACAATAATTAAATTAATATTATTACACGACAAGTAACTAAACTAAAATATAATATAATATGGACGGCGAAGTTGCTCCTAGGTATAGTGCCCTTGGATTCTGGAGTGCTACACATTCAGTTGGGAATGGAGGGTTCGTTCTCCTCCTCACAGAATCTGCACTCAATATCTTCTACTACTCTCAGTTTACTAAGGTGTCCTTTTAGTCGGCAATATCCTGTATTATCAGTTCTTCTACTGCCCAATACTTTTTTAATCTCTCCTAATATTATGTTACTGCTGATACAGCAGAACGGCTCAGGTCCCACAAAGGGTGTTTAAGCCCCTTTCCTTGTGAGACTATATGCAATCTCGTTACCCTGTACCCCGTAATGTCCCGGGACCCAAGTGAGAGTAACTCTATTTTTCTCGCCTAGCTCATTCAATTTTTCTAGGCATCTCCAGACCATTTTTGAGCTGAGCGCTTTGATGACTGCTTGGCTATCGGACATGATGATAATCTCTTGTCTACGATAGTTTCTTTCGATGTTAAACTGGATACACTTCTCGATGGTGTGAATTTCCACCTGGAAGATGCTTGGGTATTTTCCCCAGCTTTCGGAGTGCTTGGTTCTAGGCCCATACACTCCTATTCTAGTTCCTTCTATGGTTTTGGACCCATCCGTATACCACTGAATAGCATGTCTTTCGGTTTCAAGCGCGATGGATTCTTGGCTCCATTCTTTCTTGCAGCATAGCTCTGTGGTTTTGAAGTTTTTCACAAAACTGTACATCTTTATCATTTCATCCTGGGGCATATCCCAGGTATCTTTGATCCTGAAGCAAGTAGACTTTCGTCTGATTACTCCGTTCCTGATCATTCTATATTGTGTCCTTTTTGCCACATTCTCCTATCATCAAATGTAGAGGAGTGAGGTTAAAGACCACCTCATAGCGGCCGTAGGGCAGGTTCTCATTGCACCAGTGATGCAAACACAGGCTAGTCTTTGTATTTTTGAGATATTAACTCTCGTAGTAACTAAACTAGTTCTCTTACTCCAGGTTATAGCCCCGTAAGTGATGATTGGTCACACTATTGCAGTATACATCCATCGCAATGTGTTCGGGTTATATCCCCATCGTTTACCCGCAATGCTTCTGCATACCATTAGGGCTTTTGTGGCCTTATTTACTTCTTTCTTCTCAGAGAAGTTTGTTGTCCAGGGTTAGGCCTAGATATTTGACTTCATTTTTCCATTCTATATCTATTCCGTCTAATTTAACGGTTTTCTTTTCCTTGAAAACGCTACTAGTGTTGTTTTTGTAGGGTTTATACTAAGTCCCTCTTCCCGGCACCATCTTTTGGTATGTTATAGTTCTCGTTGGACTATATCACAGGTTATGCCGAGGTCAGTCAATCTGCATAGAAGTTCATCTACGCTTAGGATCCACATTAATGGGGATAGAACTCCTCCTTGTGGACATCCTCTGGAGTTGGTGTCCTGCCCTATCTGTTCTCGTAGGTAGCAGCTGAGCCATCCATCTGGATGTGATGTTATCTACTCCTCAGTTTGTCAGTGCATCCTGGATTACGTTAATCAGCTGTAGCAGGGCAGTTTCTTTAGATCTCTCTGTTCGGTACGCGTGCCCTTCTGTGATGGAGTGGCACCCTCTATAGGACTTCCGTTCTGATATAATTATCAACAGCCTTCTCCATTGTTTTTAATACAAAGGATGTGAGACTTAGGAAAGGTGTGCTTCCAGGAAAGTGAGTTTCGAGTAAGAGGCGAGCTTTTTCCTCCTCACTCTCTGTTAAGCTTCCATTTGGTTTCTTTAATGCCATAACTATATCAACTCTCCCTTTTGCCAGGGCCCTGTGCAGTCTAGCTGCCGCAGGTGTAGAGTTAATATCCTCGCAGAATTTTCTGAAACTGTTACGTTTAGCTTCCCTGATTTCTTTGTTGTAGGTAGTAAATGCCACGGTGTAGCTCTGCCAATCTTCGCTGTGCTTGGTCCTATTATAGAACCTCCGCACTTCAGATAGTAAGTTTGGCAGATGACGGTTCCACCAAGGAGCATCCCTACTAGTTATATTTCTTTGAATGGGACAGCTTAATTCATATGCATCAAGTATTGCCCCATTTAGTTCTTCAAGATCGCTTTCCAGAGCCCCTTTTTTGTCTGGATACGTGCTAAATTTTGTTTTAGAATGGTGTCGTATTTGTCCCAGTCTGTTTTTCTAGGATTTCGCCTGGGGATCGTCTCAGGAATGTCGCTCTCTAACGTAAACGCAATTATCTTGTGATCAGATAGAGATGGTTCGCTCGATACTCTTCAGTTTGTAACTAGATCTTTAATGCTTGGTGTACTTAATGTTATATCTAATATCTCACATCTTGCCCTTGTTACAAATGTTGGAGTATTCCCAATATTTTGCACAATAGGGTTCTTATTAAAAATATATTCTGAAAGTTTCTCACCTATGTGATTGGTGTCGTTGCTTCCCCATAAGGTGCGCGTTGGCGTCGCATCCAAGAAGTAATGGCAGATGTCTTCTTTGGCAGTACTCCACTAGCCTCGATACTTCGGGGGGTGGTATAGGCCCATCCCTGGCAAAGTAACTAGAAGCTATCGCTATGTCTTGCCGCCTCATCCCTAATTCCAGGTATGCTCGAATTGGGACGAGATCACGAGTCATGAATTCCGAAAGACAAGCATATTTAATATTATTTCTTACCATTATGCATGTTCTGGGTACTTTATCATTAGTGTGATAAATTACCGTTGCATCCTTACATGCAAGTCCTCTTACCTGGTTCCCGTAGGCCCACGGTTCCTGGATCAGTACGATCCCTAATTGATTTTTAAAATGTCCTGGAGATCACAGCCGAGGCACCCTTGGCGTGATGGACATTCACTTGGGCGATGTCGATGTCCGCCATTTTACTCTCCTTTAGTGGGGATGCCGTCCTCATCTGTGAGGGTGTGTTCCATATCCCTCTCTTCTGCTTCTTCATCTATTTCTACATCCTCAGATTAGTCTACGCCAGAGATTTGAGAGTTTAAGGCTCTCTATGCTGTACATCAGTCTCATCTTTGGAAGTACTAGGAATTGGTTCTGTTTCTTCTCCCAGTTCCTTTATTTCCTCTTTCTTTTGAAGGCCATGTACGGGGATTTTCCCAAATCGATAGTGGATAGTGTGTCCATTATCCTTGATCCTTTGACAGGATAGGTCATCTATTCCTAACCTAAGGATCTGGCCTTTGCCCTCGTCTTTTTGGCTGACGATTTTCCATAGTGTGGTCGATAGCCCCACATTCTGCGCTTTTATTAACTGTAGAAGCTTCTCTACAGGCTGCCCTTGACTTCTTGGGAGAAAAAGCGTGGCTGTATGTGCTTTCGGAATGCCATCTCCCGCACATACCTCCAACTTCACTCCCTTCCAGTTGCTCAGGTGTGGGATTCCTGGCCGGAAGTGGATGTCTCCGAATTGGAGCTTATGCTCCCATCCAGCGAACATCTCTTCCACCAGGGTTTGTTCGTTTGCACTGAGGATGGTATCAGGGAACCTCTTAGGTAGGATCGCGACCCGCTCTGTAGTGACGACAGTTGCGTAACTGCTAGAAGCGGAGGTATCGGCCACTTATTTTTTTTCCTTTCCTTTGCGGTGGTGTGGTGGTATTCCCGTCTCGCTTTCTTTTCACATCCGTAGAATTGGTTTTACTTCCCTCTCCCTGTGAATTGTGCTCCACAGCTTTCTTTTTCGCTTCCTCCGCTGTCATACCCTGATCGAGGTAGCGAAGATACCACCGAACTCCTGCCCCTCTGAGTCCATGCCTCAGTGGGTCGTCCCTTCCACCAGGTTGTCCCAGTTGAGGTAGGGAAGGTAACTTCCGTTCAGATTCTTTTTTGAGGGGAGCTTCCCTCGCTGATAAGTGGTGACAGGGGGATGAAGAAGATGAAGCGATTATGCTTCTCTTCTCCCTTCACATCTTTCTTTTATTCTCCCATTTCTCTCTTGTGAGGTTGTCTCACTTGAGAGGTTGAGGTAGATTGATCGCTTCGTATGGCAGGCTCCCTTATCTTTTTCAAGTTTTCGTTTTCTGTTCTGGGCCCCAGAAACCTTTTTTTGATTATCAGTAATCTGCCAAAAAAATAAGGTATGAAATAACTATGCGTCGACTGTTGACATACTTTTCGTAAAGAATTTATAAAAAAAGACGCAATGTGAGCTAAGCTGTTTCTTGATAAATATTGACTATTGCAAAAAAACGTTCTAAATCGATTTTGTTTTAATTTTGTTTATATTTTAAAAACTTGACCCCAAAAACATAAGAAACGAACAATGACATCAAATTTTAAATGTTACCCTTCCCCAAACCCTTTAAAGAAGTGGGTACTTATAAATATTTAAATTAATATTTTTTTATCGTCGCCTTAACTTGCCGCCCGGGTTGGAACGCCCTGGGTTTGATACAAAAGGTGTTAATTTGGTGAAGCCAATTTTGAGTTGCTCTTGTATAATGGTAGAACGCTAAGTCGGGCCAAAACATTATATCGTCTCCAACGCGATGTTGGTGCACAAAATCAATTAATTTAATGAGGCAGTTGTTAATAAAACTTTCATTCTGCGTCTTTTCCTTTCTCAACCCACATAAGGTCTTGATATCCCTCTAGTCGAAATCGTACACCAGACAAGAACTTTATCAGCGAATTTCGCTTTTTCTTTATGTTTTACATTGTTTGGGTACTCTTCTATTTTGTCTTTATAAAAACCATCGTTTCTTTTGATTTCTGAGTTGATAAGTGTAAAGTATTTTTCATCGTACATAACGATGGCTCTCTCATTTGCAAAATGTATTTACCTTATTTGATGACAGCATCTTGTAAATACTTCTGCACAAATAATTTTGATTTCGAAAAATGTGAACTTTGTATTTTATTATTACGGTTGGTTTCCATTCCACATAATTGTTTTGTATCGTTTTTCTTCTAGACCTAATGATGGCCACATAGCCGAAACTAGTTGCTCTTAATAATAATAATTATATTCTGGTGTCGATTTGAGAAAAATGGATAATCTTTCATTCCTAATTATTTCTAGTCTACACGATAGGAATACTAATCAAGGTTACTAATATACATGTAGGTAGGTACTTGCATTCAATGGATCATACTAGAAACGCATGGTCATGACAATAGTTATCATATCGCAATGAATACAAAATAAAACATATTATTATTCATGTTTGACGAGAAAAAATACATTTAAATAAAGAGGAAATAATTACAATAATTATTATGCAATTATTCAATGGTGTCACCATATTTCTTTACGTTGGGAAATTTTATGTACCTATTCTAGAAAAAGTGTCATTTTTTTTAAGAGTGAAAAATATTGTGATCATCATACATGTGTAAAAAGTAACTTTCGCTGGTATAATGTATCTTCACTATTTTTCCTACGACCCCTATTGTAACATTAATATTTTTGGTTATTCTATTATTTTATTCGTATTTACAATAGTGATAATAGAAAACATACTTTTTCTACGACCACTATCCAAAGTAGGCTTCTGCGCTTCGAAATCTTACCGCAAAGTTGACATTTTCCGCGAACTGACATTAAGTGACAGCTTTGTCGCTCGCCGAGCGACAAAGTTGACAGCTTTGTTGCTCGCCTAATTTAAATTGGGTATAATATGATATTTCTTTTTAATAAATGATTTTAAAGTTATTTGTACATAGTTATATTATTTTTTGTTATATTATCAAAGTTACTTCTTTTACTTGTACTTTTACTTATGACGACTGCAGCATACTGTAGGGCGATGAGTAACATTCCACTTCTTTTTCTACCTGTACATTTCCTATAATAGCCACAGGCTACCGCAGGGTGCTGCATAACAATATGTTTTCATGATTAACGTAGATATAGGCAACACATTATACACTAATTACGACAAATTTTCAGTTTGTATATACATTTGAGCGAAAAATTCGTTGCTGTTTTCAGCAGACTGCCACTTTCTGTCTCAAGGGGCAAACTATCATTTTTCGCTCTTAATACACAAATAGCTACATTATTCCTTTAGATTATTATATTCTTTTGGAAACTTTTCTCAAGTTATTTTTATAGACATACATATCATTTTTAAGTTCTAGTTATTTTACTGAGTTTAAACAAATTATCTAGCAATAATAACTGTAATTTGTATTTTTTAGATATTTTTCCATATATTTCCGCCATGGAATTTGGCTGTATCCGATATATAAAGTAATGAGTTGGCCCCAAAGGGCTCTTTTCACCATTTTCCAAATGTGTTTAGCACTAACTTACCAGAAGATCGGAATAAGTCTACAAGATGCCAAAATGACGATCGCCAGAAGAAAAGTGTGTTAATTTTTAATAATAAATAATTTCGTATCTCATATTAAATAGATTTTAACCTTTACCATGTATATATCTATGTAAATAAAACTTTTATAAGATAAAAAAATATTTATTAAAGTCTAATTAACGTCTGACAAGGAGTATTGATAATTTAGGTCTAAATCGTATGGAAACAAGATTATTAGAGAATGATTCATTTTAAGTGCAATAATAACCTTGCAGACATGTAATAAACAGATTTGATAATGTTTCCCTTTTCGAGCAGTTTTGGACCACAAATCATAAGAGGTTCCACGTGAATGACTTAGGTCAAAACCGATAACGTATATTTCTTATCTTCCAACACTAGATGACGTTACTGTGAACAGAAAATTAATTCCAAATGGCTTACATACGTTATGCCGAGTCCATTTTTTGGTTTTTTCAATTTTTTAACAAAAAACTATAAAGTCGTATTGTCAAGCTAGCAGAGCACCTCATATTTTTCCGCTACAGGCCAAAGGGGAAAATTGTTTTTGTTGGTATGAAATTAGCCTAAAATTAGGTCGTGTCTATTTTTTAGTTGCTTCAATTTCAATAACGAAAAACACTATAAACTCGTATTATCAGAGAACCTATTTTTCTTTTTATTAAGGCCAGAGAAATTTTTTTTATGTTGGTATAGAATTAGCCTAAAATGAGCCTAACATTATGCGGCGTCCATTTTTTAGTTTTCTCAATTTTTTAACGACAAACTCCATAAAATCGAATTGCAAGCTAGCAGAGCACCTATTTTTTCCGATAAAGGCAAGAGTGGAATGTTTTTTATATATATTTTTTTTTAATTTTGTGTCATCGGCGTCGACTACTACGGACATTAGCCTCGTGTTCTGTGTAGGCTTTGTTACTGTTTCCCAGCGCCACTTTAGGAACAGCACTGTTAATTAGAACCCAACAGTGAATGGTCGAGTGGGGAATCCTACCAAGGCATCAGAATTAATTTTAAATAATTAAATTAAATGAAAAAATCCCGGCCAACGGTGGGATTCGATCCTGAGACCTTCCGATCTCAAAGTCATGACTCTAACCACTGAGCCAACCCACCCTGTTTTTATATTGATATAGAAATAGCTGAGGCTAAAAATATGCCGTTATAATTTTTTACATTTGTAAGGGGTTTTCTCGCCACAGAGAAAACGGTTCCTTACGAATGATGCTGGTTATGGGCGGTTCTCGAGCGCCAGATTTTTGATAATGGTTTACTCCACAAACTTTCGAAACGGCGTCGAAAGTACTCGGGTAGCTACAGATGGAGATGAAAAATTCCAGGGGTCAAAGGTCACTTAGACACAGGTAATAGTAGGCCACAAGTAACGGGCTTTAATCGTTGCTTGGACTCGTACAGAAATTTATCACTAGCTGAAATATAAGAGGGAAATAAACTAGGGAATTATTAACCAGTAATACGGCAGGTTAACATTGACACATATATTGTAGTTAACTATTTACAACAAAAAAAATAAATAAATATTTCAACGCCCACCCCAGTTGTGCTGATAGTCAATATAACCCTGAATATAAAAAAAAACAAAACAGACGGTATTAATTCGCGACTAGTTTCAATCAGACGTCAAAATTAAATCAAAGTAAAATATATGTCTCGATCGCAGGAAAAAAAAATATTAACTTGGTTATTTACTCGGTAAATAACTGTTTAACCGCGGTATCGGGAATTTAAACTCAAATGTAGTTATTTTGCACTTTACGTGAGGAAAAATTAAATAAACGGTCGAAGAGAGTGCGAGGAGACAGGGACGCGAAAGAATTACTTATAGTAAATACACGGAAAGAAAATAAAAATAAATTTATACCCGGGGTAGCCTATTATCCCAGAATGAGCTGATCGTCATCACGAGCCCGCTCAGACAGGGTAATGAAGCTATTTTTGATTTATATAACTTGCAATTTGCACGAAAAAAAAAAATGAAGCATATAAAGCGGAAAAGAAAATTAACGCGGATAGCACCTAGTCCAGGAATGAACTGATCGTCATCACGAGCCCGTTCAGACAAGGACAGGATACTATTTAAAATTATTTAAATTGTCGAAAAAAAAAAGAAAAGTAAATTATTATCGGAGGGAAGAAAATTTACTAACGCGGATAGTACCTACTCCAAGAGTGAACTGATCGTCATCACGAGCCCGTTCAAACAGGATAGGATACTATTTAAAATTATTTAAAAATTGCGGTTTACAGATTAACTCAAAAAAAAATATAACGCGGATAGCACCTACTCCAAGGGTGAACTGATCGTCATCACGAGCCCGTTCAGACCAGGACAGGATGCTATTTAAGATTATTCAAATATACGGTAAAAGAAATAAACAAATTATTAAAAGAGGGAAAACGTCTCCTCGAAAACTCCGTTTATAAATATTCTTAACTTAATTACAACGCGGTACCTACTAAACAAAAGTATTTATGAATAAAGTCAAATTTAAATCCCGATTTAACCTATCAAAAGAAAATGAATAATTTCTTAAAACCGACTAACAATCAAAAGTCTAAAATCCCCGGTTTTACAATATTACAGAATTAAATCCTATCAATTAATATTTAATTCAAATTATATCCCTTTTTAAAGAAACGGAATATTTGTCAAGAAATAAATTCAAATGTTTTTAACTAAACCCTATTTATAAAAACAAAAGAAACGGTATCATTTGCTAAGAAACAAATTCTATTATTTATTATTTAAATCAAATTAATTATTTTAACTAAACACTATAAAATAAAATAAAAATAAAGAAACGGTATCATTTGCCACGAAACAAATTCTATTATTTATTAAAGAAATCAAATTATTTCTTTTAATAAAACACTATAAAAATATTCCTATTCCTACAAACTAATTTGCTATTTAAAATGAAATACGGAAAACGTAAAAACGTAAAAAGCGGAACAAGGTTTTTTTATCTAACGGATTTGTAAATACTAGAAAACGGAACAATATCGGCGATGATTTGATATCTAAAGCGGTGTATCAGAGTCAACTGCTCGGAATCAAAAATTATATCGGACTCATAATTTTAATAGCCTCGCGGCTCTCGTTTAAAACAATTGATTCCCTCTCCTATCAGAAATCCCACTTAAAGACAGAAACCTACCGCGCACGAGACTTGGAGTGGCGTTCGCGCAGGTAATTCAACTTCGACAGTGCAGCTCGCGATAAATATTTATTAAAAATGAAAAATGAAAATAAATTGCTTGAGAAAAATTGACTTCATTACACATTGATGAAGTTTTTGAAAAACGCAATAAGTACCTAATTTCTTCTATAAAGAGAGGAGTGGATTTTTTTTTAGGTTGGTATAAAATTAACCTAAAATTATGAACTCATCAAAATTTGATGAATCCAAAGGTGCTCTGCTATCTTGATATCAAGCAATACTTTTTGTAGTTTTATATGTTAATTTAGTTTTGTAATAAACTGTTTTTGTAATTGTATTCTTTTTTATTGCACATTTAGTTTAGATAAAATCAATTCGACAAAACGGCACTAATAAAAGTAATACCTATATTTTTATTCTCAATATTCTCATCTCTCTTTGTAACAAATCCTTACTTATCGGAATAAATTTCAGTTAAAAATCCCATGAGAATCAAACATCGTTCACATTTGAGTTGCACCTCCTGTACATATCTACTAAACCTTAAAATAAACCAAATGATTAATAAAATACAGTTTTACTAAAATATACTACTATAGCTTCGTTCGCTGTAACAATCCTGAACTGATTCTGAACGCAAAGTTAAAAATTACACTGAATATTATAACTGGATTTGTATTCTTTAAATCAGCCATACTCAACCTGCGGCCCTCTAAACTGTTTTGTGCTGCCCTCCAAGCTTTTTTGTGTAGCCCCAAACACTATTAAAAGGAAGGTGCTTGTTAAAACTATTGCTTTTTGTTTTTAAAATTTTGAGCGAAATGCGCCAAAACATTAAGCCATGCCTGCACAACATACGGCCTGCGGTCTTTTTTGTGGCCCTTTGTCCGTTGACCAGGTTGGCCCGCCGACGTCAAACTAAACTATTATACATACATTTTAGACATTAATTGTCTGTTTTAGGAGCTCGATAGCTGAGTGCCTTTTTTTTAGAATGTGAACAGACCACCTCGACATGATTTATACATTTATGGCCTCAGGCCTATCTTGGTGGTCTTCCGTAAACTGTACACGATTTTTGAAGTGGCCCTTTTAAAATCTGAGTTGTACAGGCCTGCATTAAGCGATAAATAACTAAAATAACATGAGGACCTTTTTTTTAGAAAATATTTAAATCGGATCCATATCGTCACCCATTGTCTTTTATTTACATCTCAAAAAGGTGGCAACTCTAGTTGTTCACCCAAAAATATTGCGGCCCGTGTAGCATAACAAACAGATTTATGTAGCCCGAAAGAAAAAATGGTTGAGTACAGCTGGTTTAAATGTTTATGTAGGCGTGTATGCTCTACTTTAGCGTTCAGAATACGTTCGGGATCGGTTTCGCGAACGAAGCTAGTATTTGTGCATTTTGCGAAGTCGATTTATTTCAATTTTATTTCTACCTCTTATAAACTTTCCCCAACAGGATAGGAATAAGACTGTATACTTGAAATGTCTGAAGGCATTTTTCAGACGAGCAGATAAGCTAGTACTTTCGATTTAACATTGGCGCATCAAAGGATTACAAAATGGATATTAATTTATTAAAAATTACACTAACACGCAGATGAAACTTTGCTAATACTAAAATTGCATAAACAATAAACAAGTGTTTTTTAATTAATAACCCTGCTGGTTTCAAAGTAACGTTGATGTTCCTAAATTAGCGATGAAAAATAGTAACAAAAAAACCAAAAAGAAAGAAAATATAACTAACCTAAAATTACCCGTGGATTTTCCATTTGTAATTGTTTGCAAAAAATCTAAACTAGTCTGGCTAGTTAGCAATGCAAGACCATAAATTTAGATGAAAAAAC